TGTTTGGTTGGCACTTCCAGGCCGGAGCTACGGCGCGCTGGCTCGTGCCAGCTGGCGGGAGCTCAACGAAGCCTTAGCTTGTATGAGACCACGCTAGGAACGGGTTTGCGGGTTTTAGAGACTCTCTGTGGGTTTAAGTACCGGTTGTTGTCATGTGCGTGGTTACTGCTGTCAAGGTAAAAGCGTGATCCGCAGCATTGTAGGACGGACAGTGCAAGGCGAGCTTGAGAAACAGTATCTCCGACTCAGGAAATTGTCAAGTTGTCAGGTGGACTGCGGGGGTCTCAGTGCTGCATGTAGAAGATGCGGTTGCTGAGCCTTCGGGTCTCGTTCCGAGGCTTGTGGGTTGGCACCAGCGGTCACAGGCAAGTGGTTGCCAAAACATGCCTACATTCGGTTTCCTCCCGAGACTGAGCCAAGCAATGTTGTCTGCAGGGGCTGAGATTCTTGCTGACCCCATCGTGCGGCAAGGACGAGTTTTTGTTGATGCTGCTTCCAGTGCTTAGGATGCACATCTACAGGTCATTGCAATTCGTTTCAGGACGAGTCTGTGGCGTGGCACGCCGGCGACCTCCTTCTGGCCCACGCCCGATGTCCGAAGCTATTACGGAGAGACCATTCGCGAGCGCATGTCAGGTGATTCTTCAGCCGGACTCCGTCTTCAGATAAACATCGGATGGATTTCTGCAGCGACTCGACGGGGTGTGATCCGGAAAACCCGCATCAGCCCTTTGTACATATTGGCTTGACAGCCTGCTGTCCTTCGAAATGCTGGGGGGACAAACACGCCTCCCGCTCGTCGATGCCTGTCCCGATCACGCTCCCGAGTTCACACGATGGAGTAATCGTCCTGACAGCAGTTGATTTGCTGGTCTGGCTGCATTTCGATTCAAGTCTCTCCCGCACCTCAGTAGCTGCGCAGTAGTTGCAAGCTGCAAGCTTCCCAGCTTCCGCAGAGTGTCCATAGAGATGCCCGAGATTGCCTTCGACCTCTATGACGAGCGCTGGCGGGAGTGTTGGATGGCAGCGACCTCCACTGCACGCTTGCGTAAGAAGCAGGTGGACATCGACATTCAAGAGCGAGTGCATCGATTGATTCAGGAGCACGGTCCTAACACAGAGAAGCCCCTCACATTGCGTGTTTATGGAACAATGATCAAGGGCTTCTGCGTTCTGAACAATGAGCGAGCTCGTGCCCTGTACTTTGACTCGGAGCGATTGGTACTCATGTTTGCGCGACAGCCATTCACGGAGGACAAGATCAGACTGCCAGCCGCCAAAAGGCAGCGCATGGAGGCTGCTCTGACATTGGACTTGGATCTTGCGAAAGTTGAAGCCTGTGAAACCTTCAACTGGACACAGGCTCCCTTGGAAGAAGGGGCCCTATTGCAACTTGGTGGTGCTGCTGCTCAGGATGTTCTCCCGTCGATTGAGCTTGCAGAAGCCATGCCGCAGTTGCTGGATCCAAATGCCTCTGATATGGCTGCGCCGCACAAAGCGGAGATGGACTGGCTCCCGAGATTCGAGCTGGGCCCTCTCGAGCCGCAGCGAGTGGAAGGCGAGGGACAGAACCCCGAAGAAAAGCTCGCGAACGACCCCCTGATGCAGCTCTTGGGTGCTCCGAATGCAATTGAATTGCATGACCCACAGGTCTGTGGCCAAGGAGAGGGCAACAGAGAGGCAGTTCAATCGCTCAAAAGAAGGCGTGCAGAGAGAGCTGCGGCTGCGCTTCTTCGCCCAGGATTGGTGTATGGCTTTGACTCTGATCCGATGATCCCCTCTCAAAAAGTTGCCGATTGGCAGCTCGACGATGACAGGCTCTGTCGAGCGCGGCTTGGGGCAGTGGACCAGGTTGAGATGATGGAAGACTCCTTGCAGGAAGCTGATCACTTCGGTTTTTGGCTGCGGCAAGTTGCAGATCCCGATGCAGCAATTTACCACCAACCAGGAGTTGGAAGAGATCAGGGAGAGCCTCCGCAGGTTGAATCTTTGCTTGGAGGAGTTTGCGATCTCCCGTTCCCTGACGCTCATAGCCACACTCAGCCCGGCATGCAAACATGGGATGCAGACCATATGGGAGACACGCTCGGCTCCTGTGCTGCACAGCATGCAGATATGGACGCGGCCATGCATGATGATCCCATGCCCGATGCCAACCTGGAGGTGCAGGATGATCGCACAGCAGAGGTCGGACAAATCATATTGGATTGCTTGCGGCGTGATGGCCACAGCACTGAGTTTGAGAAATTGGTCCCACCTGGTGAAGCCGACCGAACCACGGCAGCCTTGACATTCACGGCCTTGCTAGCTCTTGCAAGTGCGGGCGACCTGTATGTGCAGCAGATGCAGCCCTTCAGTTCCATCGTGGTCGCTGAGTGCAAGTGAGCGGTGTGGCTTTGGCTTTGCCAAGCGATCGCGCAAGCCAGAGCTGAAATCGACTTCGTGGCCGGTGCGGACAGATTGCGGGGAGTGCATAGCGAAGGAGTGCAGAGGATGGGGTTTGAAGAAGCTTGTCTTGTTGGGGCTTTGCATCCTGAAGCTATGCACAACAACCAGATCTCTCTCTCATTGCTGGAAAAAAGCCGAAAGTGCAGTACATGTGTGTTGTGCGTTTCGTGCCAAGACGTGTCAAGCAGTAAGTGCTTGATGCTTTGCCTCGCCACGAACTATTCAGTGGCTCAGAACTTGCCGGCACCATGAGGACCGGTGTTAGAAAGGACCTAGCCGTTTTTGGAATTCAGCTTCACGGTTCCACAGTCGGCCTTGCTTTCAGCAAGCATCTGTCACTGTAGGTGATCAACAATACCGTCAGCACATCTGACAGACTGTACGTCTTGCCCCCGGCCCACAAGAAAGGCAGCAGGGTCCATCCGGGCTCCCTGCTCCAAGCTCACCGAACAACTCGACCATAGCCTTAGCACGAGAGCTGCTTTAGTCCCGCGCGAGCTCTGCCCTGGGTCGCCAAGCAGAGCAGAGCTCAAAGTGGCGCGAGGCGCTGAAGGCAGCGCCGCGTTACGAAGTACCAGCCGGAATGACTGCTAGGGACTTGCTTTCAGCTTACCACGTCGTCCGGTTGTCGTAGCTTTGTTGTGTTTGCAGTCGCGGGGCGACGGTTGCCATGGGTGCTTTGCTCAGTCTTCGAAGGGCGAAATCCGACTAAGTGCTTTGCACAGCCTTGGGCCTTCGACTGAGCCGAAACTTAGGCAGCTACCGGCAAGAGCCGGGCATGCCTGCTGGCGAAAGGCCGAGCAGCGCATCGCGAGCTTTCACGGAGTACAGCAGTAGCACATGTTAGTGTACCACCATAAACGAAAGGCAAGGCGGACATGACACAAGAGATAGCAGCTGCAATTTGAGATGCAGATCGAGACAACAGGTCTGAATTTGCTTTGGTCGCGAAGCACTTTGCTAGAGCAATGCAGCCTAAGATCGCCTCTGAGTAACCTTGCAGATTCTGCAAGAATCATCGAGCATTTTCACACAAGTGCTGAGTGTTTGTGCAGAGTTCCAACAAAAACTGCAGGCGAAGCAGCAGCCACGGGGAGTCGCGATTTGCCATGAGCAGGACTGGGTTGTGGTTGTGCTCGTGCATAAGGGCAGGTCCGATGATGGCACGAGGGCTGCACTTCGGTGGCAAAGAGGAGCAGGATGTACTAAATACAACGTCCTTCAACGGGTACGTGCTTGTCCTCCTTCTCGCCTGGAGAAGCATGGACCAGACGATGCATGGGGATAGTGTGGCGGTCGTGGTCGTCTTGCTAAACGGAGTGGTCGCTGCAGTCGTCGTAATGCCGCGGTCTTAATAGTAGCCCCTCCGACCAAAAGTTTTTGGCTTGAAGAGTCTGGTGTTCGTGACCCACGGATCGGGGTTCGGACGCTCTTGGGGTAGAAGTTCCTGGGGGCTCAGGGCCTGGGTGGCTTTGATTGGGGGGTCCCAGGGTTTGGGGCTTAAGCAAAAGGGCTTGGGAGGGCTTAGTAAGGTTTCGGTTCTTAAGTACTTGGGTTTAGGAGGGTTCTGCAGCTTGTGGGGGGCTTACGGAGAGTTTCGGGCTTCAGGGCCAGGGTTTGAGGGTTTGGACGGGGGGTTTTAGTTCAGGAGGGGTCGAGTGTTTGGGGTTAAGGGGGATTGAGATTAGGCTCAAGGGTGATTTAAGGTTTGGGCTTAAGTAGGGTGGGTTTCGGGTTCAGGGAGAGTTTCGGGCTTTAGGGCCGGGGTTTTTAGGGTTTGGACTGGGGGTTTTAATTCAGGAGTGGTCGGGCTGAAGGGTGATCTAAGGTTTGGCTTAAGTAGGGTGGGTTTCGGGCTTCAGGGCCGGGGTTTTTAGGGTTTGGACAGTGGGTTTAGGTCGTGGGTGCCTTCAGGTTGACCATCAGCAGACAGGAGAAAAAAACCAACAACTCCCACACCAAAAGAACGCATTAATTAAGCAGCCTTTTCTTTGGCACTGGCTCGAATAAGCACGGGGCAAAACGCATGAAATGGACCCACTGGATTAAATAAGCGCACACATAAGTCGAGTCGTAGCAGACAGAGGCACCGCACAGGCAGCATCGGCAGTCTGGGACATAAGTCACCATGGCGAGCTCACCCATCCAGCCATCCATCTTGAAGAGGAATGGGCAAAAGAATCGCAAGGGTCTGCTTGGGCGAGGCCCTCAGAAGTCTCCGTCATGTGCCGAGAACCCCCGTGTTCCACTCCTTTCCACTCTGAAAGCTCGGAAGTTCATCTGTGGCTATTCGGCTCAAGGCCTGGCTGAAAATCTTAAATCATAAAAATAGCATAATCCAAAAAAGCCTAAAGAGCTCTCAGGCTTGCGCCGCTCGTCCGCATTCTAACCGATTGCGCTTGCTGCAAGAAGGGACCGCATCTTCTTGTGCTCCAAGTTGAGGCCTGCAAACTTCGCAATCTCGTTCAGATTGAGGACCTGGCCGGCGTGCTTCCTGCGGCTTCTCGTGCGGCATCGTGTGATTCCTTGAAGGACGGAGCCCACCTTCAGACATGGCCGCCGTGCCGCAGTTTGCTTCCTTGTATGTGGGCGACCTGCATCCCGACGTGACAGAGGCCTGCAGTTGGCCATGCCCCCCCCCCCCTTCCCTTCCCCCCACTCCCCCCCCCTCCACCCCCTGCACGGCCAAGACATGTCAAGACCCACGCCTTCGCATTGCCGGCAGGCAATGCTGTACGAGATCTTCAATTCGGTTGGTCCTGTCGCATCCATCCGTGTATGCCGTGACACCGTGACCCGGAGGCGCAGAGCTGCGAGTTGCACAGCAAAAACTCATGCTGACCTCTCAGTGCTTGAAGGTCTTTGGGCTATGGCTATGTGAACTTTCACAGCGTCTCTGATGCCGAGCGTGCTCTGGACACACTGAACTACTCAGGCATCAAGGCCTGGATGCTGCCATGCGGACCCATGTTAAACTATATTGGATAAATTGCCTCGGTATGCTGCCATGGCAGCATGTCAAGTCGCAAGCCTCGGTAGCCGTAGCTTGCTGGAAAACTTATACCTGCCATATGCTCTCCACCTTCGCAGGGCCGTGCTTGCCGCATCATGTGGAGTCAAAGGCTGGGGGGAGGGTCCTCGAGTTGTTTTTCGGCTGACTTGGCCTGCCTGCTCACAGGGATCCGAGCCTGCGCAAGAGTGGCCTGGGAAATGTTTTTGTGAAGAACCTGGACAAGGCTATCGACAACAAGGCCGTGGACTCGCTGCACTCCTGTCCGATGCAAAAGCCGTTTGCATGCTCGAAATGCTGAGCAGTTCGTTCCTTCTGCAGGCCTTGTACGACACCTTCAGCCTCTTCGGCAACATCCTTTCGTGCAAAGCCAAAGCCTTAGGGTGAGCGTTGTAATTGCAGCTAGTTCGCTTAGAAGCTGTACTACTTTGAATCTCATCTTCTGTGGCATTTCCCTCTGCTCCGAAGCCTCCGGCCGTCAATTCAATTCATGGAAAGCCCTTGTGTGTGACATCAGCTTCCGTGGAGTGAGGTGGCCTGCGATCCAACTGGCAAATCTCGAGGCTGGTAAACAGCGCGTCAAGATGTGCGAAGATGTTGGCGTGTGTGTGATCGTTCGACTTATGACGAAATTAGTGCGTGTTGCCCTGTGGTTGGCTGGCTTTCGAAGGACGGGTTTGTCGACCTCTCTCACGGGTTGTGTTGTTGCGACTTGTTGCACATCTTTCGATGGCATATCGACATCAATCCCAAGCCAAAGCGAACCCTTTTCTTGAACGGCGGGAGTTGGGGTGTTGTGGCAATGCCACTTGTCTCTATTGGCTGATTTCGCCCTTCAGTGAAAGATTTGTGTCAGGCTATGGTTTCGTGCACTACGAAACAGAAGAGGCAGCAAAGCAGGCCATCGAGCGTCTCGAACTCAGAGCCCGTCAGCAGGGTTTGTCGTGCAACGGTGGACGGTCTTGCTGTTCTCCACGCAGGCGTGAATGGCATGCAGATCGGCGAGCAGACAGTTGCTGTTAGCAGCTTTCTCAAACGAGATGAACGCGACAACCCGGCGGCCCAGCAAGCTGCTCAAGATTTGCATCTTTGTTGCGACCTCTTCAAGTTTCGAACATCAGGAACTTCACAAATCTTTACGTCAAGAACTTTCCTGAGGAGCTTCCGACGCATGTGACGTTGTAGTCACGGCATCACCGTGTGGTGCACGTGCAGCCGTGCAGCCGTGCAGCGCAGGACTGGGACGAGGACAAGATCAAGAGCATGTTCGCAGAGGCGCCGTCGCTTTTCGTCCGTTTACGTCTCCGCCAGGCCGGGGGTTTTCCCGAAAGTCCGGTTCGCAGAGGCGGGCACCATCACATCGACGCATTTCGTGGTGGATGCAAAGTCGAGAAGGTGCCTTTCTCTTTGCTGCCTCTGCTTGTCTCAACTTGAAGTGCTCTCACGGTGGCACAGACATCAGGTTTGCCTTTGTGAATTTTGAGACCACGGAGCAAGCCAAGACAGCACCACACCTATCATACTGCCGATCGGCAGGAAGTGACAGTCTTGCTACCTGCAGCACGGCCGAGGCTATTGAGCTGTTCCACGAGAAGGATGTTCGAACCGAGGCGGGTACTGGGGCTCGGGTCTGAGGAGCCTTGAAGAGTTCGACAGTTTTATTCCCGCCCGGTGCCGGCATTCGTAATTCATACTGCTCTCACCTTTCCCCATGCTGCCGCTTCAGCCACTATCGAACGGGACACGAGGATTCGTATATGGCTTTGCTGTGGAACATCGCGACGACTGATGTGTCCTCCGATGTCCTATGCCATGAAGATGTCCTTGTGCACTGCAGATCATCTTCCCACCTGCAAGCCTTCATGCGCCGCAAGACTAGAAAGGACCATGGAGGAATTTGATCACAGGGCCTCTCCGCGGTGCTCGCTCCAGTCGTCGTTTACTCAGCGGCAAGAATATCGAAACAGTCTCGTGACCCACGTTCTCACTGAGCACAAGCGTGTGTCGGCGCAGATGCTGGCAACAGCCCGAATCGTTTGTAAGCTTTCAGAAGCAGCGGATTTTGCGGAGGGCCATCTGAGACTGACATCTCTACTTCTAGATGTTCAAGAAGGCGAGCACGTGTGTCAAAGATCAGGAACCTTCGCAGCAGAGCATAAGCCGCACGCAACAGCTTTGCAGCATTGGTGTTGTTCTGCTCTGTTTCTGCTATTCTGTGACCGTGTCTCGATGTGAAAAGCCATGTCATGGCTTGAACACTTGGCCACAGTAGCATGCATTTTGCGAGCAGTCTGCGATAGGAACAGAAGGAAGCGGCCAAGGACGACGAAGAGGCGGGCAGCCAGTGGAGATCGATGGAGATCGGCTGTGCGGTTTGTGCCTCGGCTCTTTGGTAGGATGGCAAGAGCTCGGTGCTGTACGTGCAGCCTGGTCCTTAGAGCCTTAAAGCGGGTGCGGTCTAGACGGTGCGAGAAGGTGCGCGTGCGCAGGCGAGCGCAGTCCAAGCAGGAGCGAGCCATGGAGCTGAAGCAGAAAATGCCCCAGCCGGCCGCAACCTCGGACTCGCCTCAACGGAGGCAGCCCTCACTTTCAGTCCTCGCTCTCCCTGCGAGGACAACTCGCGCCAGAGCCGAAACGCCCGGTCGCCAGATGCTGCGGTGGGCTTCACTCTGAGTACTCAGCTGTTCAGGCTGGCGTGAACCTGTATATCAAAAACTTGGACGAGAACACTGACGAAGCTTCGCTGAAGGCACGGCTCGGTCTTGTCCACAGCGCCCTCATCCTCGTACCTGCTGGTTCGGTTCAGGAACTGTTCGAACAGTTTGGCACGGTCACTTCAGTCGCTGCCATGAAGGAGTCGCTGTGAAGACATGAATGTCGCCTTTACTATATTGATCTGACTTCTTCTGCTGTGGTGCAGGATGAGCGTGGGCAGTGCAAGGGCTTTGGCTTTGTTTGCTTTGCTTCGCCTGACGAAGCGACGAAGGCAAGTGAAACCGGAGCATCTAGGAGAGCAGGAGTGTGCAGGGCTGCTCCACGTGCAGTAGTAACAGGCCGTGACGGAGATGCACCTCAAGGTTGTGAAGGGCAAGCCATTGTATGCTTTTGTCTCAGAATTGTATATGGGTTGGAAGTGTGGCCACTTACTCATTGATCTGCTTCAGGTTGGGCTCGCCGAGAAGCGCGAGGCCATCTTCCAAGTGCATGGGAGAAAAAGCAGGATTCAGGCAATCTTGATGTTCGGGGACAGAGGATGCGACAGCGCTTTCAGGTCCGTGCCGAGCGGCTCCGCCAGCGTTATTCACCTGCCGGCAACAAGGGCGGCAAGGGCTGGGGCGAGAAAGGCCTGGTGCCGCGTTTTGTGGCTTCGGACCGAATGATCCGTCTTTGAGCGGCCAGGTGGCGGCATGGGCAAAGGCAAGGCGCTAATTTTTTGCAGTGCCCGCTGGTTTTGCGCCCCGCTACCTGGAGGTGGAAAAGGAAAGGGGCCTATGGGACAGATGTACGGTCAGCAAGGAGGCAGCTCTTTCTTTGGTAGCCACATGGCCCCCAACGTTTGGAAGTCAGGTTGTGGCATGCAGCAGATGTATCCGCCAACGCCTCGGCTTGATGTTTGCAGACTTGCTTCCAGCATTGCTTGTAGGGCAGAAGGGATGGTCTTGTGTTTTAGGATGGGTATGCAGATGGGCATGATGGGCCAGATGGGCAAAGGTGGTGGACCGCAGGTCCCGTTATTGGTTGTGCGCGACAGTGCGTTCTAAACGTAGCCGTAACTCGCTCAGGGTATGATGGGGCCACAGATGGGCATGATGGGCAAGGGAATGCAGGCAGGGAGCTTTTCAGCGGCGGCTTTTGGAGTCTTGGTCTTGGAACCTCAATGTGCAGGGACCTGGAGCCATGCCCATGGGAGCCATGGGCCCTATGGGTGGCAAGGGTGGCAACGTTCCTATGGTCGCCGGGAAGGGAATGATGGGACCGCCGCTTGGCTCCGATTAGCAGCTGAGCACGGACTCTTTTGGGGAGCTGATGAAGTTCTGATCTAAGGATGCCCGGCATGACTGGCATGGGACCGATGGGACCCATGGGTATGATGGGACCTATGATGCGCCCTCCAATGCAGCCCATGCCCATGATGCGCCCAGGCCATGCGCAACGCGGTACTCGTAGGCCGTTCGACCGAGCCTCTTTGCTGTGCGACTGATTTGTGCAGGCATGCCGCCTATGCCTCAGGGCCCTCAGGGTGCTCGGCCACCCGCACCGCAGCCTGCAGCTCCCGCTTCTGGCAACATGGGAGGAGGCAGCCAGATCCTCCATTCATGTTGCTCCTGGGTGGAGCAGTGCGCAGGGAATCGACTTGCTGCCAGGCGGCGGCGGTGGCCAGCCATTGACACCGGCAGGGCTGGCAGCTGCACCCCCTGCCGTGCAGAAGCAGCTCATCGGAGAGAGGCTGTTGATAGTGTCATCGAACTTTAGGGAAACGTCATGGTGCTAGCTTACGCAGGCTGTACTCACAAGTGGCGAAGCAGCAGCCAGAACTTGCTGGAAAGATCACGGGCCCCGCGACAGCATGCAGACACGCACCTGTGGGACTTTTTGCCCTGCATCCGATGCCAAGGCATGATGCTGGAGCCAGGGGCAGAGAATCAATCGAGAAAGCTCCAGCTGTGCAGCTCTCCTCAAGACACAATTGTTGACTCCTAAGGATGGACAACTCGGAGCTCCTCATGTTGCTTGACTCTGAGCAGCAGTTGAAGACAAAGGCAACCGCAAGATGATCAGCTTTTTGCAGTTTGGCAATGGTTCGTGCACGTGAAAGATATGTATGTATGTATGTATGTATGTATGTATGTATGTATGTATGTATGTATGTATGTATGTATGTATGTTATATATATATATATATATATACATACATACACATGCACTACCTGACTGCCCGACCAACCAGCCAACCGAACAACCAAGCAACCTAGCGAACTTCCGACCTACCAACCTACCAGCCAACATGCCTACCGACTTACCTGCACTGCATGTGCATGCATACATACATGCATTACGTATCATTATGTGACGTTGCCGCGCCTTGCCTTGCGTTGCCTTGCGTTGACTTGCCTTGCGTTGCCTTATTTTGCATTCCAGTCCATTCCATTCATTACATTTTGCTCGTTTGCCTTACATCACCTTACAGTTCTTTGCACTCCCGTGTCCCCAGATACATGCTGGAAGCTTCGTGAGTTTGGCGTGGGAAGTGAGTTGCATTGTCTATGAGCTAACTGTGATTATGATGACGATGCTGATGACCAGGATGACAATGATCTGTAATTTCGCAAGGGTCCTTAACTTACCCCGGTGTCATAAGCGGCGGCAGCTGACGGGATGTCCCACTTAATCAACAGGGCGAGAAGGTTTAGGTTTTACAGAGTTTACGGGTTTAGGGTTTAGGGTTTGCAGAGGGAGTCCCGCAAGTCATGCGAGGCAGGAACCTTTCGGACCAACACGAGAAGGATCTGGAAGAGGAGCCGTCGCAATCCCACAAGCATCAACGCAGCGAGGCAGCAGACGACAGACCCAACAAACACCCTCGCCACAACTCCAACCAGGAGCAAAGGGCAAAGGGAACCTCGAAGGACGCTGTCCTCATGGATCCGGAAACAAATCACAGCAACCGTCCAGCAGCCAAGAACTTCAGCTTTATGCCAAGTTGTCTCTGTGGAACACCAGCCGGTCACTGAAAGTGACACTGGGTCCACTAGGCATGTTCCTGATGAACGAGGTTCAGTAAAGACCCAAACCGACGAGAGAAGAAGCAGGAGGAGGCTCAAGCCGGTCTTTGCAGTGCTGCAGCTGTCTGTCCTGGGACGCCGAGAAGAAAGGCACGGTACAGGAGGACATGGAGCTGCTGTCGCTGTCGCACGAGGCAATGGAGACCCAGAGACGGGCTTCGGGAGCTCCGCATCGCATGCGCTCTTCTCCCCCCCGCGGAGAACCAAGAAGCAGCAATCCCTATAGCATGCTGCTCAACCACAAGCATAGCTCGTATGCATCCCGCTTCTTGCTGTTTGCCTTCAACAGCAAGAAGCACCAATCATAGCCTTCGTCGTAGACATCGGTCTACGGGCACCGAAACCTCAGGAAGCCTATACCTTTTTCCGCCTCCTCAGCCAGTCTGCCATTGAACAGCTGGCCCGGTTCAACCTCCGCTCAGACAAGCTTCAGTGCCCGGATCGCGCCCACCATACACAACTTCAGATCGTCAAGCTCTCCCCTCGCATCTTGTTGTCTTCATCCATCGCTGCATTTTCTGGTGCTACGGTCCAGGGAGCTCGTTTGAGAGTGTCAAGGACACGATTGGCCGGGCGTATATTCGCCTGTCTCATTGACCTCGCTAGGCTTTGGACAGCCGAGCAGCGCTTCCAAAGTCAAAAAGTATGCAGCATGCATGTGTCCAGGCCCCCTTATGACCCTTGCGACAATCTCCGCTTCAACCACTGACGGCTTCGTGCTGTCACTGCGAATCCAAACTAAAGGCGTGCGTTTGCTTTCTTCGTCTTTCTCACAATCTCACCACGAAGACATTATGCAGGTTGCTTTATGAACAAACCACTTCACATTCCAAACACCTTCGCTTGAAAATCTTAGAGGCACCTAGTAAGTCGCAGAGCTGAATGACATGCTCGGACTTCTACAACCAGATTTTTTCGACCTCGGCAGATTCGAAAGGCTTGCGCGGCTGCAGCTTTGTTGGTCTGTATCCTGCTTCTACCATACAAAAGTGGGGGGAATAGGGTCAAATCACGCGGTAGTTTTGCAACCATGTGAAAACAGTGCAGCCTTGCATACATAGTGTGTTGGATCATGTCATCAACTTCAGCATTTGTCCAGCAAGTTTAGAATGCGTGTGCGCAGTGCATAGATGTTGTCACTGATGTTGTCTACCTGCACGATCGACACTAGCTTCTGGTCAGCAGTTTCAAGGCAACTGGCAGCATGGCGACTTTCGTGTGGGGTGAATCAAAAATATTGCCGGATTACGCACTCAAACAAAATGCTGGATGACGCACGCATCTGCCGAGCTACTGCATTTTCTGACAAGTCGCATTTCTGCACGGTGGGCCATCGCGTTCTTTGCAGCTGCACACGCAGTTGCGTGTTGCGGTTTTGGCGCGCCCGTCAAAAGGTTTTTGCGCTGTACTGGCATTTTCAGGCCTGTGCACGCCAACTTGCCGCTGTCAGCATCCGCAAATACAAAGGGCAGAAAGCTGGTCGGCATTTGCCGGCCCGACAAGGCCAATACAACTAGGAAGTTTTCCATTTGTACATGATTATGCCAAGCCGCCGCGCTTAAAAGATGCGCACTGCAATAATACATACGAGTCGCCCCACCATTTCCCTGGCTCTCTTCTCATTGCCAGCTTCACCTTGGCGCCAGATCAGGAGTGAAACACCTCGAATACTTTGTTGATTCATTAGAGAGATAAGCAGGGGCTAGTTTGTGCAACCGTGCAAGTTGTTACACCAGTCAAGTCGATCAAAGTAAGCTAGTCAGCAGAAGATAAGTCTGACGAAGGAGCGAATCCCTTGCTTCTGGTAGGATTTGGTCCAAGCCATCAACTACATTTAGTTGCACAGTCGGGAAGGCAGCAAGAAGTCAAGAAGTTTGGACATTTCAGCTTTAGCCGTCCAAGACGGCAAACACGGTTTTTTGACTGATGCAGTCAATGCGTTTCAGCACAGACGTTTGCTGTTGCGGTTAAGACCTGGAGAGGCATTTAACCTGGGCAGCAAGACTAGCAGGCCGGTAGGCAGACAACATAGGTATCCAGGTGTGGCCAAAAGCAATTTCCGCAGTTATCTCACTGTTGCGGTTTCGCGGCTGACAACTCTGCATGCACAGCGGCGGGTGTGCCCACCCCTACTCGGCCGTTGCTAGGACATGTTGGCGCTCGCGAAAGATGGCGGACGAAGAGTGCGCACGTAAGCACAATGTCACATGGACAAATGACCACAAGTCAAGACAATGGAAAACATGAACAGCGATGTACACGAAAACATATCTGCTAGCCCCGCCTTTGAATCTCTGAGAAACCGACATATGATCCGACATTTGATTGATATATTCATGTTACATATGGATGAACATGCACAAACATGCACACGTACGTACACACGTATGTATGCATGTATGCGTGCATGAATGCATGCATGTGTATGTATATAGATTTGAAAGTCCGCTCCAACTTCTACCTCTTTACGGACATGCCTAAACGGTAACGAGAGCGAGCGCAGAGACACGACGTGCCGTATTCCTCGGCAGGTGGACGAGGCCTTGCGTGTGCTTGAGCAGGCCAAGTAAAGTTGTGGGCTCGGAGTGAGTCCGCCTGCCGAGTGATTGGCCAAAGTATCAAAAGAACCGAACTGTACAAGATTGAGGCGATACTCATGGACCAGGCTGGAATCGGTTACTAAACTCGTGAAGATGCTGCTGTTTTCGAAGGATGCAAGAGTCATTGCAAATCAATGGCATCTGTCTACGCAGACGGACTTTACATTTGGATGCTTGAAGTGACTCTCGCATCGGTCCGATGCTTTTGAACGCAGACAAGATGGACTGGCCGCAAGTCTTCTGCATGGCATGATGGAATTTTCGCATTGGTGTGCTTCTTTTTTTTTGGCTACCGCCCTCAGAAGTCTTATCTGCAGGTAGGGACTGCAGTTTCCAAGTGCAGAAGCAAAAGGCGAATACAGTGCGCTGTAGGCATTCTGCGACGTTGGGAAACTAGCTGCTTCGAAGCAGCTCGAGCAAGACGCCCATGGCCATTGCTTCTTCACAGCGCCTGCAAAACTTTCACTCTGCTAGCCGAGATGTAACGATGTTGCTACCAGGCATTGCCCGTGATGTCTGTGGATTCGTGAGAGATGGCCTGTAAGGACATGGTTTTGAGAGGCTGGAAGCAACATACTGCAATCGAGTTTTGGAGGCTCAGGGACTGTCTCCTAGGATCTGACTCTCCAGGGTAGGTCCATGGGCCTGCGAGGTTGCTGATTGAGCATCTCCTTCAAAACTCGAGGATATGACCCGAAGTACTCCAAAGAGCGATGGAGGATCTGCCAAAGGGCTGTTTTGCCCGGACACAGATTGGGATGGCGCTCTCCTTCAGCTCGGCTGTGTACTTTAGATGCTTTGCGAGATTGGAGACCAGAAGACTTGGCCGGAGTGCTACGGTGGTTGAAAAATGATGTTTGCAACGGAGAGACAGGCAGTGTTTTTCGTGTCTTTTGCTGCATTGCGATGCTGCATATCTTTCCCTATCCCGAGGCTGCTGAATCTCGGCAATACCTGCTTCATGAATGCCGCTCTGCAGTGCTTAACGCCTGCAGCCCAACGAGTTGACTGTTGGGCTGTTGAGTTTCCCTTTACAGTTTCAGATGGGCTGAGACCGAGGCACACACACGGTATGCAGAAGTACTTCCGACATTGCGAGCACACTTTCTCGTGCCAGCCCCGGTGGAAGCTCTCTAGGACTGGGATGCTCCAACGACCGCTTTGGTGCTTGGAGTCTTGGTGTCGTCCGAAAGGCCTCGAGCTCAAAGCAGCCGCCAGAAGTTGCTCATGGCCTTCGCGCACTGGTTCGAGCAGGACTGGGGCCGCCAAGCCGCAACAAAGTACATCCAAGCCGGCGCGCTGCGCAACTGAACGAGAAAATGCATCTCTCAGCATCTGAGGTAAAAACGTGTAAGGCACCAAGTCCGACCTTGTCAAGGATTAGGGAAGAGCGTTGATGATCACTGACGAGCTCTGACGTTGACCGAGGTCTGCACCTTACCACTCCCCTGAGGACGTGCTGCGGGCAGTGCAGCAGCCGGGTCCTCAGCTTTCGACTTGCAGACCCTTGCAGGGACCAGCTGGTGCACAGGTTGAACCCGACCTTCCAGGGATATTCGCAGCAAGACTCGCAGGACACGATGGCTGCTGTGCCCGCTCTTGTTCTTCATGGAACGTCACAGCCTTTAGGAGTTCCTTCGAAGCGTTCTGGACAACATCCATGAAGAGCTTCGAAGAGAAGTGTCTTGCACCCAGTCGAGGGGCTTTCAGGGTGAAATCTGGTGGCTGGTAGCAGTGTTTTTTCGGGTTTAAGCTCGTGAGTAGAAGGGCGCTCTCTGACGGCAAGCGGCAAGCCCAAGGCCGGACGAAGCCTACGGCTCCCAGGGCTCCGAGAACGGCCCCTTCCCTAGACGCGACGCCAAGAAGTGCAAATCAGGCCTGATCCTGGTTTACCCCAAGGCACGACTTCTGCAAGTGACGCTGGGCCTAGCCGGCTGGCGCCGAAGATAGATGCAGGCCAGCCAATGCTTTGTCAAAGACCAGTGATGCTGCTTGTTTTTGGCGCAGCCGCTGTCGGCCGATTTGGGAGGAGCGGGAACGGGAACGCCCACGCCCTCCTCCTCTTCGAGAGAGGACTTCCTGTCCTCGAGAGGAGCTCCGGCTCCGCGTGGCGGTCGCGAACGCTGACAGAGCTGTGGGCTGTGGGATGCTGTGGGCCTGGGCCCTGCAGGAGGCGACGCTTCGCTTCAGCGGGGTTCCTCGGCAGCGCAGCAGCTCATCCAGCCGGGCCCCAAGACATTGAAAAGAGCAAAGAGCTGGATCAACGCTCTGTAGTGCTCCGCAGGTTTTGCCAGGGGCCAGAGAGTACCACAGACATGGGAGAGATCAGGCTCTGCACATGCATTGCAAGTGCTCCGAAACGAGTGGCAAAGATCATGTCCGGCCTTCCGAGCCGAACTGGAGGTTGTCCTCCACTGGCTCTGACTCGAGGCAGATTTAATATTAGCTGCACCATTGGGCACGCTCGATTGTATTCCCGCAGAGTCGAGAGAAGAGCGTCTGTACCAGTGCTGTACCGCTGAGCCCCGAGGTCCTCTGACAATGTGGATGAACCATCTACATCCAGCGGCGATCTCAGAGCCCTCGCGGCACTCTCGCGGCACTCCACGGCCGCGGCCATTTGCGCTTCGGACCAAGCATGCAAGCAGCCGGTGCAGAAGCGCCAATCGGGGGGACGGTTGTGACGAAAGGAACAACACTCCGAATGGCCAAGTTGGATCTTTTTGGTGGGATCCGTTCTGTCGTGTGCATCTGCTTCAGGCCAAGCTGCCGCAGGCCAGTCCGGAGGCAAGTCGAGAGTGCCTCGCAGCATGAGCTTCAGTCAGAACTTGCGAAGGCGGGGCCCAAGGCTCCGACACGGAGCCAAAAACTCACTTCGCCGGAGACCCAGTTCAGCTCAGCTATGCAGAAGACTATGGCCTGTGACAGCTCCAGGAGTCCATTGTCTCCGAGCTTTTTCAGGGCAAGGTCGTCTCATGCGTCCCGGACCGAGCGTCTACTTGGCTCATCGGCTGGTGGGTTGCCAGTGCTTTTCCGCCGCCGCTGCTGCTGCCGCCCCTGTTGTTGTTTTTGTTGATGCTGCTGCTGTTGCTTTTCGCGTTCAGGGGCCTCCATTGCTTGCTTCGTTTGATGGTGCGATCAGCTTTTTCGGTGCCAGGTGAGATGCCTTGAATGCAGACAGATATCCAGGCCTTGGCAACCTGCGACCTTTCTGCTGGGATCGCAAGTGCCTGCTCTGCAGGACGTCAGAAGCCGTCTATGATATCTCTGTGCCCTGCTTTTTCCGTAAACAGCTATGCCACTGTGTCCAAAAGCGAGATGTCACCTGGTCTTGGACCTACCAGAACTAGCTACGATGGACTGTGCTGTGGCAGTTCATGCACAATGCAAGCATAGATTTTGTCCTTGGGCTGATTCTGAGACTGGACCGGTAGCCTCGAGAGGTACCAATACCGAGTGCAAACGAAACTGCAACTTCCGTCGGTGACGGCTCGCCGCTGCGACATGCTCAGAAACTCAAAAAACACAAGTTGACTCGTCAGTTCGGTGGAGATGAGGTCATCCGTCGGCTCGTCACCCAGCCTGCAAAGACAAGGGCAGCGCACTTGGCGGGATCCCACCATGTTTGATGCGTAGTAGCATGTGATACTTCTGACACGTGTATCCGTTTCCAGGTCTGGCGGGTTGCGAAGCTCGTCCTGGTCGGGTGTTTTGAACTCTGTTGGTGGCAAGGTCAGCTTGCAGCGCTGTCAGATTTCCATGCCTTGACGGGCCTTGACTTGGGAGATGCTCAACAGGTCAAAAGCTGGTTCTACGCATGCAGCCCAGAAGTTTCTGCTCCAGATTGGGTGTAGTCGGAGCGGCCCCAAGCTGAGGACAAAGGCGTACACCTGACCGACTGCCTTCGGAGGTGCCATGTCAACCCATCGCACTTGAGCGTGTGAGAGACGTTGGCTGAAAGTGACTTGCTGCATGACAGCTACCGGTTGTGCCAGCAGAACAGTGTCTTTACCGGAGATCCTATCGCAGCTTTATTTTGTCCTGATTCCGCATGTGCCAACACGAATGAATTCACATGATTCAGCTCAGCAGCGTGGTTCAGCCTTGTGGAACAGGACTGCGAACATGAATCATTTGCGCATACACGCCAGTCCACACCGACAGGGGCTTGGCATTTTGTAACGGTACCTGACATGCATCGCTTCTACAAAACATCAGGTTTCAGAACTTCCAAGTTGCTGTGAAGTCTCGACACTGCTGTGGAGCAGTTTTAAGCGGCTCGTGTCACGGTCAAGCTGCTTCAATTCTTCGACCGGTTGAGCGTCGACCCTGCTTCTACTGTTTGGGGTCTATATTGAGGCCACAGCTTGGTATTTGGTATCTGCTGACCGTTTACATCCTATCCTCTCATAAGCCTTAAGCGTGGACTTGATCAGCATCTCTGCGATGCACATGCCTGCCGCTCCGATTGGGTTGGCACCCGGCAGAGAGAGCAAGCGCTTTCGAGTTTTTGCGGTAGCGAGCATAGCAGAGCGCGGGATGTGGGAAGCATTGGCTGACGTTTCCTACTTGTTGATGTGACGAAGCAGCAGCAACATGGTTGCTCAGCCGACTCGGCGAGTAGCACAGCAACAAAACCAACGTCTGCCTGCAGATTAGCGAGGTATGGATAGCGATGGTTTTTGTCGAGCAGTCGGCTTCAAGAATTAAGCTTGATTTATTGGGGGCTGTCAGCATGTTTTTCGAAGCGGAGCAACCAGCGCCGAAAGCATCAGCGAGACGGCAAAGGTAGCAAAATGGAGCGTCCACTGATGGTGTCATTTCTTGAATCCCGTGTCGTGTATTTCCACGCCCATGTTGTACCCCGCAAAAACAGAGGGCCTGGATCCTCGCCTGTTTCAGTAACAGGCCACACAAAATCAGCATACCCTTATGCCTGATGCCTCTGTCTGTGGAGGGGACTGTTCCTGTTCCCATGCCTGTGTGCCGAAACACGATTTCCTCGGTACTGCGATTGGAGCTGTTATGACACCCCGGCGTTTTGCGATGGAGGATGCATAGCAAGAAAGCTTGACATTTCGCGTTCGCTGCGGTTGACGGTGGTCGATCTTGCAGCCATCGCTAGTACCTTGTGCCATCGAAGTCGATCATGGCACAGACCAGCTCAGATGTGCCGCATGTACAGGTAAGTAGCACCTTCTCGGTAGTAAGGCATGGCCACTCAAAGCATCTTAGGTAAGCAGAAAGCTGGTCTAGCACGGATTCATCGCATATAAACGAGGTACTGTGCTCCAGAATACCTGGGCGGCAAGGACATGCTAGGATGTCATCAGATGAAGCATTAAGTGGTGTCGGCCCGCATGATGCCTCAACTTCTACAGGACCAGTACTTCTGCGAGCGATGCAAGCGAAAGCACGACTGCGAAAAGCGCATGGTCTTCAAGGATGGGACGCATGTAGCTTCCAGTCCCAGTTCTTGGGAACAGCGAAAGCCTGGCAGGAGCTGCCGGAGGTTCTGTGCATCCACCTCAAGCGCTTCAGATTCGATAATGCATATGGCTGGTCGGTTGCCTACGCCCAGCATGCCCGCCCAAAATGAGGCCTTGGCGGGCACAGCACGCGAAGCCCTACTGCGCTCAGGTTTAACGGGTCCAAGAATTCTCGCGTGGTCACCTTTCCCGTGGCCCGACGCTTGGTGCGGGTCCAATCAAGCAAGAGCATCGTCCGAAATCTCAGACCACGACCCTGGACATGGCACCCTTCATGGAGGAAGTGCCGGCCCAGTGCAGACCTCATTGCGATTGTGCACCGCACCTGGCATGACCGACCGATCGAACGGAGTATGGGCGTTGTGCCTTCCGTTTAGGCTTGGGGTTAGGCCTTTTAATGTGTACCAATCTCAGACGAGGAGACCTGACTGTTTTTTTTGGGGGGGGCAGCTCTGAAAAACCTCACCACCTTGAGAGAGCAGGGAATCACCAGTATCCACTGGTGTCTGCGATGCTTCCTTCCACCAGATTCAGCAGATGCTTGTGCTAATCTGCGACACTAATGCTCCCTGCGTCCGACCCACGACAACCGGTTCGTGTTGTTCCCTGATTTCCATTGTCCGCAAGCAAATGCCATGGCAACACCTGGTTTTGGGTGCCTCAATCTGCCACAATGCCAAATGCCACAAACAAGCCAGGTGCTGTAAATCCGCGCACATGTGGCAGGTGATTCGCTCGATTCGCACGGTCAGGTCTGTATCATGAGCAGCTGACGGTGGGTGTCATGCATGGCGATTGATCTGCTATGCTGCTGGTGTCATTCGATTCGCGAGGTGGCCTCGATAGTGAGCAGGGGGGCGGGGGTTCGACTTGCCTGCCGGAAGCAAGCAGCGGGGTGTCGGAGGAGGTTAAAGGCAGGACGGATTCTCAAGACTCTGGAGAAAGTCAATTAGGAGGTTTGCAAGCCTTTCAAGCGGTTTTGGTCCATTGAGATTCAAAACCAGGTCAAGGATCCATAGGCTGAGAGTGCACACATGACAGAAGCTTGGACTTAGGCCTATAGAGTACAGGCCGGACTGTGCTGGTGGATGCACCTCAGCCCCACGCCCAGACGTCGCCTTTGGAGGCTCATTGGTCTCATTCAGCACATCGGTTCGATGGGTGGTGGCCACTACATCTCGTACTGCCAGCACAAGAGAAAACCTCAGGCGTGTGCTCATGTGGATCGAAGCTGACGTTGCCGTGTCACTCCCAGATCGCTTGGCAGGACTGGTACGAGTTCGATGATGTGCAAGTCACATGCGTCACATCTGAACAGGTGGTGCTCTGATTTCAGTCCTCGGAGACAGCAACCTTGGTTCGACTCTATCGGCAGCAGGTTGAACGAGCAGAGCCTTATGTGCTCTTCTACCAGCGTGTCCGGCCCTGAGATGTTGGTGCATGTTAGGGCACGCCTTGATTGGACCCGATTGCGCTCCATGCTCACGGGACTTCGTGTGTACTGCGACATCCCTACTTGGAGATGGCATGTGCTCTAAGCTGGAGTGGCCTCACTGCGTTCGGACCTCATGAAGAGAGGCGGCAGGGCCAGTCATGCGACGGCTCGGGGACTACGTGGCCAGCGGTGCCACAGGAATGGTCGAGCCAACCCCTTTCGTTTGAGTCTATGTGTAAGCACCCTGAGCATGGGGAAGCAGGGTGCAATAGCACGATAGTGCACAGTGCACCCTTTAATGGACAGCTTCAAACTGGGTTGCGGACACACTCCATGTGTCGGATATGGCATGGTTGCACAGCCACGCTCGTATCGCCATTCTCTGACCAGCTTTGGTGCCTATATGTCCAGGCGCAGACTGACTTGTCTTTTGTAGTTTTTTCTCCGAGGTGCCGTCGAAAGCAGCCAAGCGCGACAGACAGACCTTCAAGCACGACATGCGCAGCATCCAGGCCGAAGAAGTTTCCATCATCATGAGGTAGTGCAGATGTCGTGCAGGAGCAGGTGAACAGCTACCTGATCTCGCAGTCCCAGTCCTCCAGGCGCGGTGAAAGAGACTCCCTTTGAGGCCGTGTGGTTTTGGGCATTGGTCGGATGCCGTGTGTGTCACCGTGCCGAGAAAGCCAGGCCCGGCAGATCCAGCGAGGCGCCCACCGCCCTGCGCCTGCGGCGTTGCCTTGCCGTTTTCCGTTGTTCGCTTCTGGGAGGATCTGCAGAGCCATGCGCCCGTGGCACCACCGCAGGCCGGGCAAAGAGAGACAGCGGGTCAGGACGCTCATGTCGCGTACCTGCTTGCCGAGGCCGTTACAGATGAAATCCGGAATCAAGGTCCAGCACTGCCGCGTGCTTAGGCGTGTGAATCTCGCATTTCATCAGAGAAGCTCCTGCGTTTTTCAACTTCGTGCCCAGGCGGAATGTCTACCGGTTTCCCCCTCCAGAGTTGGACATGGCCTTTGTGTCCAAGCACTGGTCAGCCGCCCCCAAAAGCTGCTAGGTAATATTTTCGTCGAGACATGAGTGGGAGGGTTCCACTACGAGAGAGAAGAAGCCACATTGGTAGCATGCCGTGGCATGACGACGTTACGTAACGTTGAATTTCTGAAGGCCTGGCCATGCTGTTGCGGAACATAAGTTGGGCAGAGCCATTGGTATCTTGAGTGTAAGTGCCCAATAGGATGAACAATGACAGGTACGTTCGCCTCACGACGATGAGCCATCCTGGTCCGATAGACAACTACCAGTGCCGCATATTCCGTTACGTTCTCTCAAGCTTAAGATGCTTCCGTCATGTGTGTGTGTGCGCACGCTCAGATGTCGAAGGTACTTGTGTCCGCATGGAATGCTGGGCTACTCCTCCGTTCGAATCTCGGAGTTCTGGGTTGCATGGGTCAAGGCAAGTGGGCATTTCGGCCACAGCCCCGAGGCTGAAATGGCCGCGGAGCCTTTCTTCCCTATCTCGAGAAAGCTCTCCCAGTCCTTGCTAGGCGGTGCCAAGAGACGGAAAGAGTATCAAGGCGAAAAGCTCGCGTGCACAGGCAAATATGGGGGTGGTCCCGAGATTTCGAATCTGGACGTCTGCAGCAGGTTGGGGCCGGCGAATATTGTAGCGCAGCACCCGCGACTACAACTGTCAGGTGTCAGAGGCATCTTGATGCATACAACCAGAGAAAGCAAGCAGAGCCACTTTTCTTGCAAGGGAGTCTGGTGGTGATTAGGGGATGTCTGATCTGCGTTGTTGTGCTCGAGGGGGGCCCATCGCCAAGGTTTGACCTCGTGTCCAAGTATGACACGAAGGACCGAAGCGGTGACGACTTTGAGAGGCCCTCAGCCCGAAGTCCAGTTCAACGCAGGATACTGGAGATGGACAGGGCTGGTATCTTGTCAACGTGCTTTGGGTGGCTAGTCGGCACTTGCGTACTTCGCTGGAGCTGTTCTGTCCTTGAAGGTTCGTTTTGCTTCCTCTTGCTGCCAAGGTGAACGAATGGAAGCGGTATGTCAGGGGCGAGCGGGTTCACAGCGTCCAGGTCTGCTAGTGTTTCGAAGTACGTGCTGCTGGGATGTCGGCTGTAAGCCGGACTTCTCCACAAGTTCGCATGTCAGACTCTGCCAGTCGTCGGCAGGACATGTGCGCACCTGGGCCCATAAGCCAAGCGCATCTCTTCGACAAGGAAGACCCGCAAAAGCTTCGGAAAAATCTGAGGCCGAAGTCAATGTCAGTGAGCTGGCATGAGCCTCCTTGCACATCTTGCCTTGAAGGCTGAAGCTGGACTACATTGGCGTGAATGCCCGCGTCTGGCAGTTGACTTACACAGTTCCCTTCGAATGCGAAACTCAAGTTGACCTGAATGATTGGGGGAAAGCAGCTGATTAGCTTGGCTCCTCAGAGTTAGGCGGAAAATGGTTGAGTACTCAAGTAATGGCAAAGTGATGAAGGCTTCGAGCGAGTAGGTACAGCAACCTCGCTGAGTTTGCATCTGTTGTGTGAAGACGTCTTGCATTCCTCGATTCATGAGTCAGGTCGCTTTTCATGCACGTTCATGGCGGTGGTCCTGCCATTGTCCGAGACGAACTTGACATGTACTCTAAGGACGCCTTGGCACGGCGCGTTTCTATGGGTCATGTGCTGTCATGAGAAGATACCGTTTCCACAGGATGAAGCGTTTCGGTCTCCGAGCATATTGAAGATGGTAGCAAGCCTTGAGTCTGGTGCTGTGGTGCGAACAGTTTGTCTGAAGCTCCCTGCTGGCGCTGGCATCAGCAGGCACTGGGGGCCTCATATAGCCTAGCATCGTGTAGGGCCATGCCCAAGAATGTGCATTCGGTGGGGCTGTCAAGCATTTCCAAAGATGCATTCCAAGGGTTGGGCTGGGAAGCTAGTTTTGCAACCGGGGTCGAACCGCGATCTTGTCGCAGGAGCTGCCTGTGGAGGACCTCGTGCCCGAAGAGCTGTGCCCACCAGGCCGACCAAGAGACCTTGGCACTCGACTGCTCCAGCGTCTCAGCTCCAGCCGCGGCCGCTAACCGCCGCTTGCGCCAGCTTGAGAAGTTGCGCTCCTGCTCCTGTGCCAGGCAATGACTTTGCAGTGCGAACCTCAAGGCAGTTCGTCGACGAGTGCCACGGAGATCTGGAGTCAGCGCCCGAGTGTTTCTGGATCGGGGTTGAGGGGAGGGGCAAGCGAGAGCGCGTGCTGCATGAAAGCCGGGAAGCGGGGAGCGAGCAAGAGCACTGACTGTTCGAACACGAGTGGAGACCAGTCGTAGTGGTCCAATCTCCTAGCAGAGGCTCTATCCCCGCCAACTTGCCGCGTCTAGAGAGTCTAGATTCCAGACAGATAGTTCAAGTTGCGAGCTAGCATGCACCCGTGTTAACTTTCACGCGTATTACTGCCGCCTATCAGATTCCGTGAGGCTGTACAGACGCAAATATGGAGGCTGGATGTTCCTAGTAAGGATGCACCCATGCCTGCGTTTGACGACGTGCAAAGTTTCGAGGCGGTGATGACACCACCACGGCCACCACCGCCAGCCAAGTTGATGCAAATTGCGAGACGGGCAGCTTCCTCATAGCAGTCTCATGGCAAGAGGTTTATTCAGCTCGTTGCGAGCACTGTCTGGGAAGGCAAGAACGAAGTCGGCGAAGAGTCGCCTTCGCACAGTTTGCATGAGGCTGGCTTCACTTCCACTGTGCAATCTGCTACCGATCCGGCCTCCAGGACACGCGGCCGGACGTGTCAGCAGGGTGCGGGCCTGCGGTTGCGGGTGAGACTGATAGAGGTGTAGCGGTAATTCGCGGTAGCGAAAGAAGATTTGTTTCCTTCTGCAGAAAAGGTTCGCCACGGGTGCGGAGGATGAAGACCTCCGGAATTGCACCCAGACTTCGTTGCCTTTGTTTGTGCAAGAGCTGAGCTGCTCGCTGCGAGTCGGACTTACCAGTGTCCATGTGTCGGAGGCCCCTGGAGCACAGCGTCGATGCGCCTGGAGAAAACGTCAGAGTCTGATGTTTCGGGTCGTACGAAATATGTGGCGTTCTACACCTTTCTGTCGCTTGAGAACATTGAGGCCTTGATTGTGCAGGCTAACTGAGCTGAGCGCCATAAGTGCGACCACGTTTTTCCAGAGCAACAACAGCGGCTCTCGGAATGCGCTGCGATGTGGGTCAGCCGTAGGACTTCTTGATCCCTGGAAGGGGTGATGACTGTAGTACGCCCTTCGATCAGAGTGCGCTGTCAGCAAGTGGTAACAGCACCCAAGTCGCTAGATCTCGCGAGCTCGGCAACTACAGTGGGGTCCATGACATGATTGCGAAGGCAACTCTGCAGACGCGGTAGAGTCCCCTTTGAGAAGGGAAGCTGTGGCACAGACGCGAGAGACCGTTGCCTGAAAAAGTTCCGCGAAACGATGCTGCGATGCTGTGCCGTTCGAAGAGGCACAGCCTGACAGAGCTCCTACGTGCTGCAAAACGTGCGTAGACCAGCTTCTGCATGTCGAGCCTGCAAAGCCACCACACCTATGTGCACCTTGGAGCGCCCGATCAGGATTTGCGGGCCCAAACCAGTATATAGCACTGGCAGCTCAATAGCACTTAGCACAGACGTTGCCACCTCTTTCAGAAATGAGCTGGCATTTCGCGTCCACGATCCAGGCAGTCGGCCAGGCGCATTCGTTCTTGGCACGTTGGCTGTTGGGTTTATTTGCGGGATTTGGGTGTAGGGTGGCTTCCTTTAGATGCAATCTGGCACTTTAGGATGTTGATATTTCGGTGGTGCCTGCAGGTGGGATCTTCCCGAGGGCGAAGCAGCAGCAAGTCGCTGAGTGGAGCATGTGGAGCGATTGTTTGTCCCGAGAGGGAGGGATTTTGAGTCTATTTGCAGCCGAGGATCAGTCCGCTGACAACACCCAAGAAGGAGTGTGACGGCGACAGTGACAAGAGCACATCACCCGGCACATCCCAGGCCCTGCTTATACGGTGGCTGCGCAGTCTTGTAAAGTTGCACGGTGCATGCATATGCAGGGTAAAGGTTGTGCGTGGAGGGGATGTTGTCAGGTTGGAACCTCACCGTCCTTCGGCAACGCGCGGAGGCTGAGCTCTCGGACTGACAGCAGCAGGATTTTCAGAAGTCTCGGATCTGTCGCTTGGTCTCTCAACTCCCACCCACTTTATGTGCATTAGAGGCAGTTGGAGCTGGGCTTGGTGAGGAGCGCCTGAGCGCTGGCACGTCGTTCTTGCTTGTTGCAACAGCTTGGAGTCGATGAGCTCAGGATGCGAGGCGAGCACGAGAGGTGGCATGCCCATCTGTTTATATACCGATTGTTTTGCGCACCGCCCAAAACTATCCGAAAGTCTCCAATCGAGCTTTCCAGCCACATGCAGATCCAGCTGCGGAAGCGGTTACATGAGTTCGGATCTAAGTTTGCAAGTAGGCTGGTGATTGCCCGAGGCCTTTTTTGTAGCGGAAGCGCGTGCGCTGGGGTCTGTGGGTTTTTTGCATGCAGGCTGGACAATCTGCAACAAAACTTCCAGGAGGTGCAGGTGGGGGATGATAAGAACCCTCCCATACATGCTTTAAGAGTTACCGCATCCCTTTTGCCTTGGAAAACGATCAAAGTAAATGGAAACGATAACGTTGAGCTCTTGACTTACGCACATGTCGACCCCAGTACTAATCCATTACCAGAAGTTTGGGTTCCAGTGCTAAAGCAGATCCACAAAGCAATGAAAATCCAGCCGGCGCATGACAATTTCAATTCCAGTACTAAACCAGTACTACAAATCAGCAGACGGCTCATGGAATTTTCGCGCTTAAAAAAGCAGCAGTCCTAAACCTGGCAATACGAGAATTTATAAGAGTAAACAGTCAATATCACATTTTCGGTGTGTCTTCGCTGGCGTGGTTGTTTTTGATCGCTCCTCAGGTGGAGCTCCAAGACTCTTTCCGCAAGATCCACTATGAGAGAAGCAGGCAGGGCATTGTTTTTTGCAGCAGAGGTGTCGTATTCACGGGGTCGAGCAGCCGGTTGAGACACAACACCCAGGCGCCAAGCAGCCGAAAGGAGGCTCCACAGCACCGTTGAGCAGATGGCCTGGCTAACTCATCGCGTTCAGAATCTGGAGCAAGAGTGCCCCGGCTCGTTTCAAGTCTGTTCCCTTTTTCGATTCGCCATGCTCGTAATGTAAGCATCCAGCATCCAAGCCGTGCAAGGTGCATGGAAACACAGGCCAAACTGCGAAGGGAGCGCAAAGCTGGACGCAGGCAGCAGCGACGGCTCAGGCAACTGCAACAACAGCTGCCAGCCTAATTTAGCCATACGAGTTTGCTCCGTTTGAAGTGGCTGTTCGGAGAAGTTGCTGTAAGCAAATTTTGTGCAGCAGCGTGGGATCATCATCGACAAACAAACGAAACTGCGCTCTATCCTGAGTTCGATGCGGTTCAACGATGAGATTGTTGAGCCCTCCAATAGCGGCTGGGTCCTGGCAAAGACCTGGGATCCCAGACCAGCCGGTGGCCAGGAAGGCCAGCCCAGCGTCCCAGCGTCCGTGCCGAGAGCTGACCCTCACGTAGAACAACATTCGATGTTTGTTTCGAGCCACGCACGCATCTCTCCAATGTGGGCGAAGGCCATGAAGATCAAGCGACTGCGGCGGGGAAGTCGGGCAACGAGGACGCCGTTTGGCATCTCTGGCTCTTGGGCGCGGCAAGCCACAAGTTGTGAACCTCCAACCACAAGCCTGCAGCGAATCACGAAGGAGCAGCGGTGTGCGCAGGACTTCAGCCAGTTTTGCCCCCAGCGTCCTGCTTGGTAATGGGAAGAGGCAGAAGACTCAGCAGAGGATTTAGCGTTCATGCTCCAGGGAACGATAGGGAAGATAAGAGAGAGAGAGAGAGAGAGAGAGAGAGAGAGAGAGAGAGAGTGTAGCCATTTTGGCTCAAGCCGCGAGTGGTTCAAGGCCGGGCCAGAAGAAAGCAGAGGGCCTGCAAACCAGAGAGGAGAGCAAGCCCGGTGACAGTCAGAGCTCAGACAGCCATCACAAGTTCACCGGCACGGTCGCAATACTACGCGGGGAGACCTTGACCGCTTCTGTGCGCGACCTGGGGGGGTCCGAACCTGCACGGTGGCCACACGCTGCTCTTTCGGGAGTTCCTCAAACCTCGGCGTCTTCGGGGTCGGCGATCCTACAGGACTCGCTGGGCGATTACCTGTTTCTCCGCCAGAGGTACGCTGGGAGACTGCGGGGGCCTACGGGGCGATCGTGCTACTACGGCCACCCTTTCAAGAATGGCAAGTACGCCTATGGAGACAGGCCAGCCGGCCGGCCTGGCAGGGGGCAGTGGAACGGGGGACCAAGGCGACTCTCCCTGCAAGAAGCAACGAGGCGAGGATTCCGGGGCCCTGACGCTTGACATGATCCGAGAGGCCATGCGAGCTGAACTTGGCCGCAGTCGGGAAGAGCTGGGGCAATCCATAGCCTCGGTGCGTGAAGAGGTAGCCTTGTTCAACAAGCGAGTCGATGGCCTTGAAGCCGGGGTTACCAAGCAGATGGACACGACCAACAAGATGTTCGGCATCCTGACGACCAACCACGACAAGCAGCAAGAAGCTCTGGAGCAGATCAAGCTCACCCAAGAGGCCCAAGCTGGGGACATCAAAGCCTTCCAAGGGGGGCAAGAAGGCCTGGAGAACCGTCTGGCCATCTTGGAGGGCAAGCTCAAGGGATCCTCGATCAATGGGGGCAGCACGGCCGACACGGAAGGCCCCAGGCGACCAGCCCTAATCATAGGGGGGTGGCCAGACGAGCAGCCGGCGTCCGAGACCCTCCAGAAGGCCAAGGACGTACTCCGACAATTGGACGTCCCCCTGGATTACAGCGAGATGTTCGTCCCGGGGCTCAAGAGGGGGTACGCTATTGTGCCCATCCCCCAGCGGTGGGGGGAAACAGAAGACCAACGTCGTGACATTGTCCAAACCACCTTGCAGAAGGTCAGACGAGCCAACGTTATGTTGGGGATCAACCCCGCAGGGGGACACCGCAAGCTCTGGATGTCGCTCTCGCAATCCCCGGAGCGCAGGCGCAAATCGCGTCTGGCTGGCAAAGTCAAGAGGGCGCTGCTGGAGATGGGGGCGCACCAGGGGCGCATGGAGGTCGAGTTTTCCACGGGCACGGTTTGGTATGACCAAGAGCGGCTCAGCAGTGCTACGCTGGATGCACCCAGGGGGGCCGAGCAAGCTGGCGCCGGATGGGTCAACCTGAACACGATGGCTCGAGTCCTGGGCAAGGGGGTCCAGGAGGTGAAGGACGCCTGGCAGCCGAGGAAGGATGAGCTGCGTTGAATCACTAAGCAGATGCGGAGTTCTCACAAAGTGCCGCCACCCCCCGAAGGCGGGCCAACCGGGGCCAAGCTGGGGGTCCTCAGCTGGAACCTGGGGGGGCTCGCAGGGGACAAAATCCTCGAGCTCACCCGGAATTTCAATGATGATCCTGTCCTTGCTGGAATTCATGTCTTTTTACTACAAGAAGTAGTGACGGATGCCGGACTGTTCTTTGCCGCGAAGTACGACTGGGTCCTTGTGTATGGCAAGAAAGAAGGAACCTGGAGAGGAGAGGGTATACTTTATCACAGCAGCAGGGGTCTACACCACCACAGCAAAATCCACACCCATGCCATCAGCACTACCATTCGGTGCCCACGAACACAACAACGATGCCGATACATTGCAGCACACCTTCCACACCATGCAACAGTGGAGCAAGCCATTGCCCTCCTCGCCGAATGGGGGGAAGCCGCCCCACGGAGCAAAGGCAAGCTGTGGATCGGGATGGACGCCAATGAGACGTTCACCCAGACGGACCGGGGGGGCCTCTTGGCTCACACAAGCAAAGGGGAGGAGGTCCTCATGTGGGCAACCTCCCTGGCCGCCCACTTCCCGCCACAGGCGCTGCACCAGCCCACCTTCCACCCTTACAATCAAGCAATGCAGTCCCGACGACTGGACTACTTGCTGCAACGGGGGCACACAGTCGAGGAGGGGGGGGTGCACGTCTGCAGACACCAGGCCGCCTCCGACCACGATGCCGTCTGGGCGTCGGCCTTAGTGGGAACCGCCCACCAGCCGCAGCAGCAAAGATGGGGCCCCCGGCGCCTTACGGGCGACTACCAAGCACGCCTAGACGCCCGGCCCCCCGCCCGAGGGGGCGACCCCCAGACCGACCTGGCACAAGCCGCTCAGGAGATCACCCTGCCCGGCGGGGGGTATGACAAATTCCACGAAAGCAAACAGCTCCAAGCCCAGCGACGGGCGGCCCAGCGCCTCCCTCAAGGTGGGCAAGCAGCCCGCACAGCTTGGAAGGCAGTGAGCCGAGCACGCAAGCAGGAGCAGCGAGCATGGCAACAAGCCCACGTCAGCCGAGCCAGCCAGGGGGATTGGCGAGCCAAGCGATCCCTCGACCATCACAGCAGCCGACAGGGCTGGGAGCATCGACTGCTTGATGATGCTCAGTGGCAGCAGCGACTGTCCCAACACTTCTGCAGCATTTTCCACAAAGTACCACGAACCCACACAGCAGCCAAGCTTCAGCTTCTACGGGGAGCCCTCACGCGAGCATGCAAGCACGCCCCGTGGCGACCCTTCTCGGAGGGCGAACTCCAGCTAGCCACAGCAACCTGGCACCGGGGGAAAGCCACGGGCCCAGACGGGGTCGCACTAGAGGCACTGCAGGCGATGCTCCATCCAATACCTCCTCAACGACTTCCTCTACAGAGGGGCGCTCCCCCCCCAGGCCCTGGAGGGGGTTACAGTGCTCCTCCCCAAGACAGTGGGAGCCCCAGAGGAGTGGGGAGACACGCGACCCATCACACTGTCGTCGGCCGTACTCAAATGGTTTGGGCAGCTACTCCTACTCCGAGGGGGACGCCAGCTGCAGGAGGGGGACACCTACCAGTGGGCGAGAAAAGGACGGCAGGGTACGGAGCTGCTGGTGATCATGTGGCGGGTCATGCGCATGGCCCGCGACTGGGGGGTTCCGGTGTGGTTGGTCCGCCTAGACATACGCAAGGCGTTCGATTCCGTCTGGCAGGAATCCATGGGCCACCAGAGTCGGCAAACTCCTTGCCACCGGGGACATAGCCATGGGGGGCTCCCCCTGGGAGGCACGCGCATGGCTTGGCCTCCTTGAAGCCCGGGAACTACGGATCGCTATCGGCGACACCATCACCAGCATCCCGCAAAGCAACGGTGTGCGCCAAGGATCCCCTGATAGTCCCGTGCTATTTGCGGCCATCATTGCCACGGCGTTGGACGAGGTTCTTACACGCACGGCCAGACACCTGCCGCCAGTGGGGGGACCCAACCCCCCCCAATCTGGGGGGGCGTTTATGGATGACACCTATCTCTGGAGTCATGATCATGACCATTTGCAGCGCACCCTCACCGAGCTCGAAGTCAGGCTGGCCAAGGACGGCCTCTCCATCCACCCCGGCAAAACCGCCATCCTCTACAGTGAACCCGAAGGGGGGGGCACCTTCCGGATAGGGGGGCAAGAGGTCGCATGCCAACCCTTTGGCGCAGTTATCACAGCCTTAGGATCACCACTCACCTTCGTCGAACCAGTGGCGGCCATCACGGCGGCCATGAACGAGCGAGCCCGCAAGGCCTTCCACAAGCATAGCAAGCTCCTCTGCGCGCCGACGCCGCTCAAAGGCCGCATCAAGCTGCATACAACCATGGTGCGGAACGCCGCCCTTTGGGCATCCCAGTCCTGGCCCATCGTCGAAACCCTGCACAAAGCAGTCAACAGCACGCAGCTCCGGCACATCCGGGCCATGATGCGGGAATCCCGGCACCCGGGGGAATCGTGGGTGGATTGGAACAACCGCACCCTCCGGCGAGCCCGAGTCCAACTTCACCAGTCCGGGGAGCCCCGCTGGAGCACGTTCCTGCTCGGGCAAACATGGGGGCTCTACGGGCACATGGCCCGATCCACCGAAGGAGGGGCAGCCATGCTCAGCTGGAAAAACCTGCAGTGGTGGAGGCGAGAACAAAGGATCCCGCCCAGCTGGGGGGGCCAGCGACACAAGCACAGGTTCAACCCGGACTCGGACCCTGAACGGCAGATCGTAGCCGTAGGGGGTCTAGCCTGGATGCAAACAGCACAGGACAGGGCAGCATGGAACGGGCTTCTGCACGACTTTGTGGGGCGCTACGATGTGCCCTGGGCCTCGGGCAAGCAAGGAAGTCTCAACAACATTGCACCCAACAGGGGGCAGGCAGAGCGACCCCCCCAGCAAATGAAGCCTCAGCTGACAGCATAGGGGGAGCAGCGCACAGCCATGCCCCCACGACGGGGGCACTCCACATTCCACAACGCCACGCCACCAACGACACCACCGAAGAGCAAAAAACAGACAGAAGAGAGAGAGCATAGAGTTTCACGTTTCACATGCAGTTTTCGCAGTTGACGACCTGACAGGGCACACCAGCCACAGTGTATGCAGTGATGTGCACAGCTTGAACCACAGGAAGGGACCGTGATGGAGTGAAACGACCCATCCGACAGCCGCCGCATGCTTACAGCAGTTAGCCGGCCAGCACCTGGCAGCCGCGTTGCCGCCATGAACCCAATTCGCTACATGATAGCCCTGACCTACGGCCTGATGCTGTGGGGGGCAGTTTTGGCCTGTGTGCGCCTGGGACAGCCGCCGGCCCCGCCCACTGCGGAAGCAGCCGTGGGACCCGACGAGCCCATGCCGCTCCAGGACGACGACAGCCCAGACGACGGA